GTGTTTCCTTCACCGCCATAGCCCACAATCTGAACGGGTTGTGTACATTTTTTGGTCCTTCGAGCCGGATGCACGGCAATCAGTTAATATAAAGATTTAAAGTGAAAGTAATAAATATTGGAATACAGTCATATGGTGTGAAGGAAGGCACGAAGTAACATAGAAACAAAACTTTGTACAGTGCAGTTTGCAAAATCGTTTTCTTTCCTCGTGAATTTTTCATACGATTATAATCATGAGGATTGAACATATAATTAGTAAGATAGAGCAGCTTTTAGCGCTCAGTAAATCAATAACTGATTCTTATAATAACTTGGTAAGGATTGGCTTGACTAACATCACCAATCAACGTATTCACAATCGGCTGTCAGACCTCAAAGATGATTGGAATCAGTTCTCTCTAATTCATGATGCTATCTCGATTTCAATTCCTGAACTTTTAATTGAAGAACAAGTAGAAGTTCATAATCATTCTCATTTTGATGAAAATGTATATAATGCCACTAAAGAGGGTTATCTTGAGGCGCTTGGAAAATTTATTTTCCTGCTTGATTTAGAACAGACTTCGGTGAATGGGTCATCGTCTTCACAAACGATCTCTCTTCCTAGTACCAGTACAAATTTCTTTCCACATACAAAGCTACCTCAAATTGTGATTCCTCCATTTAATGGAGAACCAGAAAAATGGCTTCCTTTCAAAGGACTTTTCGTTTCAGTAGTGATTGATAATTCTCATATACCAGATATTGAAAAATTACAATATTTAAAAACCCTCTTAAAGGGTTCAGCTTTTCAATTGATACAACATACTGCGTTGACGGCGGACAATTTTAAGAAAACTTGGGATTCACTTACAACCTTTTACGAGAACACTCGGTTACATGTTAACACTACATTACAATCCTTAATGAATCTTAAACGTATGACGAAGGAGTCCGCTAAGGAGATTGAGTTTTTATATTCCAACATAACGCAACTATATCGTACTTTTGAAACTTTGGAGCGCGAGCGTCCAGTCAGTACGTGGGACGATTTCTTAGTCTTCATATGTTCACAAAAATTAGATTCAGAAACTGCTAAATTATGGGAATCTAAATTAGGCTCGTCTAAAACTCCTCCTTTGTGGACTCAATTCAAGGATTTTTTATTTGAGCGTATGTCGACCTTACAATCATATGAACGGTCTCAAAATGTTAAAATTCTGCAACCAACGAAGCAATCGACAGCGAAAGTAAATCATCAAGGGAATTCGAACAATACTTCTTCCAAATATCAACCCTTCTGTGTCGTATGTAAAGGAAAACATTATGTAGCTGCTTGCCCTCAGTATAATCCTAAGACAGTAGAACAAAAATTAGCCATTGTCAAGAAACATAAACTCTGTTTTAACTGTTTAGGAGCACATCGCGTTTCGACTTGTAGAGTCACTAAAAGATGCCAGAAATGTGGATCAAAGCACCACACTACTATTCATCAGGCAAATTACTCTAAAACAAAGGATAAGGAAAATTCGGTTAAAAATGAATCGTCTTCAAGTAATCCTCAAAATTCCGAATCAAAAGTTTTACATTCTTCTAACAATAAATCGGTAGGATCCTCTATTCTTTTAGCTACAGCTCAGGTAGTTATTGTTTCATCAACCGGACAAACAATGAAAGCAAGAGCATTGATTGATCAAGGGTCTGAAGTATCGATTATTACTGAAAGGGTTACGCAAATACTCAAATTAACTCGTAGTCACTCATTTACATCCTTAACAGGTATTGGTGCTCAAAAGTCACAGAAAACTAAAGGCTTAGTTTCTTTCATTATTAAATCACACTTTAAATCAGACTTTGAACTTACGGTAAATGCATACATCCTGCCTAAATTAACGTCTTCTCTTCCTTCGATTAAACACGATAAAGATAAATGGAATCATTTACAAGGTCTTGAACTCGCAGATCCTACATTTTTTAAACCAGGTTCTATTGATTTGATATTAGGAGCCGATCGTTATGGTCAAATAATTGAAGAAGGTATAATTAGGGGAGAAATAGATACTCCTATTGCGCAACTCACAAAACTTGGCTGGATTGTATCAGGCGTTACGAATCATGCGAAATCTGGTAATCTTGTTGAAGGATACCACGTTACAGTGGATAACGAAATTTTTGATTTAGTAAAAAGATTTTGGGAGGTTGAAGAAATTGTAACTTGTAAAAAATCATTATCTGTTGATGAACAAGATTGCGAAAATCATTTTGTAGCAACTCATTCGAGAGACGCGAACGGGAGATACGTAGTAAAGCTTCCTTTTAAGGAATCAACGGAAAAACTCGGTAATTCTAAATCAAAAGCAATTCGGTTAGCAACGAATTTATTCAATAGACTTTCAAACAATCCGAATTACGCAAAATTATACTCAGGTTTCATTCAAGAGTACGAAGATTTAAACCATATGCAAAGAATTCCAAATAATCAAAACGAACCTCAAAGGGTTTATTATTTACCGCATCATGGAGTTTATCGTGAACAAAGCTTAAGTACTAAATTAAGAGTTGGTTTTAATGCCTCCAGCAAAACAGCTTCGGGATATTCATTAAATCAATTACTTCACTCAGGAGCAAAATTGCAAAGTAACTTGTTTAATGTTCTCATTTGGTTTAGATTGTTCAAGTACGTTTTCTTTGCTGATATCGAAAAAATGTATAGACAAATACGCGTTCATTCTGATGATTGGGATGTACAAAGAATTATTTGGATAGACTATTTAGGTCGACTCATTATTTTCATTTTGCTTACGGTTACCTATGGTTTAAATTGCGCTCCTTTTCTAGCCTTGCGCGCTCTCAAACAGTTAATCATTGATGAGGGAGCTAAATTTCCTTTAGCTATCCCTACCATGGAAAATGGAACATATATTGATGATTTTTTCGGAGGCGAAGATACTCTAGAGAAAGCTTGTAAAGTAGCAGACCAGGT